GTTGGTAAGGAAGGAGGGGGTTGTGGGTACAGTGGTGTGTGGGTAGGGACGGAGGGGGTTGTGGGTACAGTAGTATGTGGGTAGGGAAGGAGGGGGTTGTGGGTACAGTAGTATGTGGGTAGGGACGGAGGGGGTTGTGGGTACAGTAGTTGTGGGTAGGGACGGAGGGGGTTGTGGGTACAGTAGTGTATGGGTAGGGAAGGAGGGGGTTGTTGGTACAGTGGTGTGTGGGTAGGGACGGAGGGGGTTGTGGGTACAGTAGTATGTGGGTAGGGAAGGAGGGGGTTGTGGGTACAGTAGTATGTGGGTAGGGACGGAGGGGGTTGTGGGTACAGTAGTGTGTGGGTAGGGAAGGAGGGGGTTGTGGGTACAGTAGTATGTGGGTAGGGAAGGAGGGGGTTGTGGGTACAGTAGTATGTGGGTAGGGAAGGAGGGGGTTGTGGGTACAGTAGTATGTGGGTAGGGAAGGAGGGGGTTGTGGGTACAGTAGTGTGTGGGTAGGGACGGAGGGGGTTGTGGGTACAGTAGTATGTGGGTAGGGAAGGAGGGGGTTGTGGGTACAGTAGTGTGTGGGTAGGGAAGGAGGGGGTTGTGGGTAGGGAAGGAGGGGGTTGTGGGTACAGTAGTGTGTGGGTAGGGAAGGAGGGGGTTGTGGGTACAGTAGTGTGTGGGTAGGGAAGGAGGGGGTTGTGGGTACAGTAGTGTGTGGGTAGGGACGGAGGGGTTGTGGGTACAGTAGTATGTGGGTAGGGAAGGAGGGGGTTGTGGGTACAGTAGTGTGTGGGTAGGGAAGGAGGGGGTTGTGGGTACAGTAGTGTGTGGGTAGGGAAGGAGGGGGTTGTGGGTACAGTAGTGTGTGGGTAGGGACGGAGGGGGTTGTGGGTACAGTAGTATGTGGGTAGGGAAGGAGGGGGTTGTGGGTACAGTAGTATGTGGGTAGGGAAGGAGGGGGTTGTGGGTACAGTAGTATGTGGGTAGGGAAGGAGGGGGTTGTGGGTACAGTAGTATGTTGGTAGGGAAGGAGGGGTTGTGGGTACAGTAGTATGTTGGTAGGGAAGGAGGGGGTTGTGGGTAGGGAAGGAGGGGGTTGTTACGGGAGAGTGTGTCAGGGAGAGGAATGGGGGGGAGGGTAAAGTGTCGTGTAAGGAAACACCTTATACCTTTGATATACCTTTGATGAGTTCTGAGAGTTTTACTCTTCCTGGAGCCCGGCCATGGGCCAGGCTCATCTAGTGCTTGCCTCTATAACCTCACCTCACAAAGAGCCTCTACATGGACCTCTATAACCGTCGATAAACAAGACAAATGTTGTAATAAAGTTGGTAGAATTACCGACAATATGTAAAGTATTGTGGCAACGTTTCGCTCTCCAGGAGCTTTATCAAGTAATGGCTTGATAAAGCTCCTGGAGAGCGAAACGTTGCCACAATAAATGTCACATTAGTTGCACTTGTGTCCTTTTACAAGACAAATGTTCAATACTTCCAGTACTGTCAACAATGAAGATACTTATTACATGCGTTATTCGTCACCCTCATTTGTGTTGTATACCGTCATTAACACGATACTTAATACACTCTGATCAGACACATGTGCAACAGTTATGTATCTGTATTCCGAAACGTTTCGCCTATCTAGAAGGTTTCTTTAGTCGAACACAGAGGCAGCAGAATCAGTAGAGATATTAAGGTGATGTGATCAGTCCGTCCATCACCCTTAAAGGCGTAGTTTTTAGATGATCAATCCCTCCAGTGTCGGTATTGTATACTATTGTATACCATTATTGTAATTACACTCTATACCCTCTATTGCGACTTCCAGGAGCTTCTATCTACTCGCGGGGCTATTGATGCCCAGCGGGGCAGGCTCTGGAACCAGGGTGGCCCCATCAACGTGAGCTGACGGAGCTACAGGAAATCTATGGGAGACATTTAATGGCCAGTGAGCCATTTCCTGCCAGACCTCCACCATTGGCATCATTGGCTCATAAAACCATTGAGTGTTAAAGGGTTTCCGGGAAGACATGGGCGTGCACGGCCGCCCACCTTGTCCCGGCGTGCATGGCCGCCCACTTGGTAATGGGCGGTGGGATGAAAGACATCACCGCCCATACCCTCTTGTGTCATAAGAACATAAGACAGAAGGAGCACTGCAACAGGCCTACTGCCCCATGCTAGGGAGGTCCAAGTCACCTACTTGCCCATGGTAGGCAGGTCACAGTCACCTACTGCCCCATGCTAGGCAGGTCCAAGTCACCTGCTGGCTGGTACATGGTATGAAAGAGAAAGGAAAGTAGGAATGTGGCACAATGGGTGAGTTCGCAGGTGGCTGACCACAGCCTGGTTGATCAGGAACTGCTTTGAGGGACTTACCAAGACCCCTCACCAAGACTGCCAGAGGTTTATTGATACTCTTCCCTTAAGCATGAACGGTGGGTTTTGAAAAGTCCAGGTCACTTTACACTTACTAATTCCTCTCTTAGTGCAAGATACAGGTAGTATAAAATAAGTGTGTACAAAATGTGAGGTGTCTGTTAGGCTCGTATGTTGTTTTAAATGTTTGTGGGAGAAGAATACTAACAATGTTGCAAGAGTGCAGAACTTTTAGTAAACTTCCGTCTCACACTTGGATGACAGGATGACCATCCTTCCTTGGATGGCTATACCTCCCTGGAAGACCATACCTCCCTGGAAGACCATACCTCCCTGGAAGACCATACCTCCCTGGAAGACCATACCTCCCTGGATGTCCATACCTCCCTGGAAGACCATACCTCCCTGGATGTCCATACCTCCCTGGAAGAACATACCTCTCTGGATGTCCATACCTCCCTGGATATCCATACCTCCCTGGATGTCCATACCTCCCTGGAAGACCATACCTCTCTGGATGTCCATACCTCCCTGGATGTCCATACCTCCCTGGAAGACCATACCTCTCTGGATGTCCATACCTCCCTGGAAGACCATACCTCCCTGGATGTCCATACCTCCCTGGAAGAACATACCTCTCTGGATGTCCATACCTCCCTGGATGATCATATCTCTCTGGATGACCATACCTCCCTGGATGACCATACCTCCCTGAATGTCCATACCTCCCTGGATGTCCATACCTCCCTGGATGATCATATCTCTCTGGATGACCATACCTCCCTGGATGACCATACCTCCCTGGATGTCCATACCTCCCTGGATGTCCATACCTCCCTGGATGATCATATCTCTCTGGATGACCATACCTCCCTGGATGACCATACCTCCCTGGATGACCACACCTCCCTGGATGACCATACCTCCCTGGATGACCATGCATCCCTGGATGACCATACCTCCCTGGATGACCATACCTCCCTGGATGACCATACCTCCCTGGATGGTTGTTGTCTACTATTGTACCACTGACTACCACCACCTAAATGGTGGTAGTCAGTGGAGTGTTGATTGGTGGTGGTGGTAGGGATATTTGTTGTTGGTGATAGATGGGGTGGTTGTGCCCCGCTGAGCGTTCCCTACCCCTATCTCCCCCTCCCTACTCACCTACCTTCCCACTCATCCCTCACCTTCCCCGGGGCATCAGAGTCCTGTGTACATACCGAACAATGTCATTTATAGATCCTGCTGTGATCTTGTCTCTGATTGCTGATGTGGTGCCCACGCCCAGTCTGACGTGATACCCACGTCCAGTCTGACGTGATACCCACGTTCAGTCATAAAGTTGTCAGGAAGTGGAATAATCTGGAGAGTGATGTAGTGGAGGCAGGATCCATACATAGCTTTAAGAAGAGGTATGATAAAGCTCATGGAGCAGGAAGAGAGTGGAGCTATTAGCGACCAGTGAAGAGGCGGGGCCAGGAGCTATGACTCGACCCGTACAACCACAATTAGATGAGTACACACACACACACACACTCGGCCTTCCACGTTACAAAATTGAATTAAGTTGCAAGAGTAATAAATCTGAGTATGTGTGGGGTGGGGTGGGGTTGGGGGAGGGGGTTGCATGGAGGGGTTGGAGAGGTGGGTGAGGGGGCAAAGCCTCATACATAACTGTAATATTAAACCAAGGTAATAACATACCTTGGGAAGGGGTCAAGAAGCCTGTACTCCGTGACCGGTCTTCTTAAACCCGTTTCCCGAGGTTGTCCTCAGTACATTTGATTCATAAAGTGATAGTAAGGAAGGAAGGTAGTGTTACACCATACCTAACACCGCCGCAACACCGCACCGTAAATATGAAAGCCAGGAACGGAAATGTTGAACGAGGTTATAGCGACAGGCTCCACATTCCAGGATGATTCACTGGACAATCTTCACCTCCCGTCTGTGTGTAACATTATCAGCCCAGAATCTTAATCGAAACTCAACCAGCCAGATTTCTGGGAAGGTGGCGCGTCATCGCAATTAATGTTGCCACTACTGGGAAAACACTGTTGGTATTTCTAAAAAATTTTCCGAGTTTTAATGCGGTCTCTCTGCGCCTTTGTTGCGCGGCCCCTCCCCGCACCTCCCCGCCACTCCCCGCCCCTCCCCGCTTCGCCCCTCCCCTCCCTGCTTCCCTTTTGATCCCAAGATGCAATGTGATACAAAACAGATGTATAGAGGGTTTTTATGCTCTCCCTTTCCGCTTTTTTCGTCCGCGGAGCCGAGTTGAAATCGCGAGTGATATTTCCTGGTGGTTGATGTTGCGTCAGTGTGGTTGATGTTGCATCAATATTGCAGAGATGCCAACCAGATGTAGCAAGTGCCACAGGCTGCTAGACACGTACTTACACACTCCTGTTAATCTATCTTCCGTGAGATTTCACGTCACGTGCACGTGTAAGTGGGTTAAACTGCGATAAACAAGGTGGAAGGAGATGTGTATGGTGAGTGTGTAAGTGTGTGAGGTGCGTGAGGAGTGAGAGTAGAGAGGAGGGTGTGAGTGTGTGGCAAGTGAGGCGGACAGAGAGGCGGACATGAGTAAGCATCAAGTCTTAGTCAGGAAGGGTATCATTTGCCATCCCACAGTGATCAAGGGAAGAGGCTGTCTCGCCTCTGTCTCATCTCTAAAGTGATTAATACCAGCAGTACAAGTGATCAATTACGGCCAAGTGTGCGTGATGTGAGTGAGGCTGGGCGGGGTGAGGCGGGGTGAGGCGGCGGGGGAGTGTTTACAGTGCTAGCAGACCCCTGCACCACCTCCCTCTCCCACCACCACATCAAACCATTCTTGCACCGCCAGTGATTTAGCGTACAAATCTGGACGTTCACTCCAAGTTTGCAGGAAACGTCGGAAAACGAACGTAGGAATGAAGATAGTTTTCATTCTGACACCACCAGTGATACGCACGTTTATGTAACCCGTATCTAACGCCAACAGTGATACGCACGTATATGTGACCCGTATCTGACACCACCAGTGATACGCACGTTTTTGTGACCCGTATTTGACACCATTAGTGATACGCACGTAAATGCAACCCGTATCTGACAGCACGAGTGGTACGCACGTTTATGTAACCCGTATCTGACACCAGTCAGCCAAGGCGTTGTCAGAAGTGCCTCTTCCGTTCTCTGAAGCGCCTTACGTGGTTTCAAGAACACATTATTGGCGTTTGTATATGGTACAAAGTAACACAAGTTAGGTAACCTTGTATTTCCTGACAAACAAAACACCACTATCTTAAAGACGACAATATGTGAAGGCTTTAAGGAAGTCTTGAGACACTGACGTTGATAACGACGCAAGAGAATGAACGTACATAAGGTTCTGCCTGCGTGAAGGGAACTTAGTAGGTTCCTAAGTTCCTTGTCAGTTCCTGCGTGAAGGGAACTTGGTAGGTTCTTAAGTTCCTGTCAGTTCCTGCGTGAATAGAACTGGTAGGTTCCTAAGTTCCTGGTCAGTTCCTGACTGCGGTGCGTGCGTTGGATGTTTAGGACCCGGCGGCGGGGACGTAGATCCCCGAAAATATCCCTGGGATATTCCTCAGGCTTCGGGTATTCTTAAGACTCTAGGTATCCTCGAGGCTCCAGGTATCCTGGAGGTTCCAGGTATCCTAAAAGTTCCAGGTATCCTCGAGGTTCGAGGTACCCTCAAGGCTCCGGGTGTTCCCGAGGCTCTAGCTATCTTAGAGGCTCCAGGTACCCTCTAGGCTCCGGGTATCCCCGAGGCTCCAGGTATCCTAGAGGCTCCATGTACCCTCTAGGCTCCGGGTATCCCCGAGGCTGCCAAACAGGTGATGGTTCTGTGTACAATTCTTAGTAGTTTTTTTTAACGATATGTGACAAGCTGATTCTCCAGGATGTTGTCACCAGCAATTATTGCCTCACAAGAACTGGACTATGTAAGAAAGTGTGTGTGTGTGTGTGTGTGTGTGTGTGTGTGTGTGTGTGTGTGTGCGTGTGTGGTTGGGTGTATAGTTGTGTGTGTGCGTGTACGTGTCCGTCAGTCCGTGTCCTTGGCGTTACCTGGTTCGTGATCGCAGTGAGACCAGCATAATAAAACTCGGTAGGTTATCATATTTGGACAGTCCCACGGCCATAAGAATTGACCTCTGTATCTGGGGAATGTGTGTGTGTGTGTGTATGTGTGTGTGTGTGTGTGTGTGTGTGTGTGTGTGTGTGTGTGTGTGTGTGTGTGTGTGTATGTGTGTGTGCGTGTGTGTGTGTGTGTGTATGTGTGTGTGTGTGTGTGTACTCACCTAATTGTACTCACCTAATTGTGGTTGCAGGGGTCGAGACTCAGCTCCTGGCCCCGCCTCTTCACTGATCGCTACTGGATCCTCTCTCTCTCTGCTTCCTGAGCTTTGTCATACCTCTTCTTAAAACTATGTATGGTTCCTGCCTCCACTACTTCACTTGCTAGGCTATTCCACTTGCTGACAACTCTATGACTGAAGAAATACTTCCTAACGTCCCTGTGACTCGTCTGAGTCTTCAGCTTCCACTTGTGACCCCTTGTCCCTGTGTCCCCTCTCTGGAACATCCTATCTCTGTCCACCTTGTCTATTCCCCGCAGTATCTTGTATGTCGTTATCATGTCTCCCCTGACCCTTCTGTCCTCCAGTGTGGTCAGTCCGATTTCCCTTAACCTTTCCTCGTACGACATTCCCTTGAGCTCTGGGACTAGCCTTGTTGCAAACCTTTGTACTTTCTCTAACTTCTTGACGTGCTTGACCAGGTGTGGGTTCCAGACTGGTGCTGCATACTCCAGTATGGGCCTAACATACACAGTGTACAGTGTCTTGAACGATTCCTTATTAAGGTATCGGAACGCTATTCTCAGGTTTGCCAGGCGCCCGTATGCTGCAGCGGTTGTGTGTGTGTGTGTGTGTGTGTGTGTGTGTGTGTGTGTGTGTGTGTGTGTGTGTGTGTGTGTGTGTGTGTGTGTGTGTATGTGCGTGTGTGTGTGTGTGTGTGTGTGTGTGTGTGTGTGTGTGTGTACTCGCCTAGTTGTGCTTACCTAATTGTGGTTGCAGGGGTCGAGTCACAGCTCCTGGCCCCGCCTCTTCACGGGTCGCTTCTAGGTCACTCTTCCTGTTCTATGAGCTGTATCATACCTCTCCTTAAAGCTTTGTATATGCCTTAGGCTTTTTAGGCCACTTCACATGTGCCTTTCGGCATCTCTTCATCACCTTGTGGCAGTTTTGTCTGTGTACCTTGCGGCAGTTTTGTCTGTGTACCTTGCGGCAGTTTTGTCTGTGTACCTTGCGGCAGTTTTGTCTGTGTACCTTGCGGCAGTTTTGTCTGTGTACCTTGCGGCAGTTTTGTCTGTGTACCTTGCGGCAGTTTTGTCTGTGTACCTTGCGGCAGTTTTGTCTGTGTACCTTGCGGCAGTTTTGTCTGTGTACCTTGCGGCAGTTTTGTCTGTGTACCTTGCGGCAGTTTTGTCTGTGTACCTTGCGGCAGTTTTGTCTGTGTACCTTGCGACATTATCAGTATACTGGTTCTCACTCACTAGGTAGGAACAATTAGGTCATTTGAGTAGGTTCGAGTCTCACAGATACTGTAGCATTGACCATCCCCCAGGATGCGACCCACAACAGTCTACTAACACCCAGGTACCTATTTACTGCTAGGTGAACAGATGCAACGGGTGTAAGAAGACTTGCCCATACGTCTCGCCCTGCCCCTGTGTGTGTGTGTGTGTGTGTGTGTGTGTGTGTGTGTGTGTGTGTGTGTGTGTGTGTGTGTGTGTGTGTGTGTGTGTGTTAGAGGTTGGTTTACACAGCTCAATACAATCACACCGACCTCCTGGAGTTATCGTCTGTGGTCGGGACGCTGTATGCGCGCCTGGGGGCGGCTGCGGGTGGTGTGGGCGGCGGGTGGGGGACTCTAGATTAAAATAAGAAGAGATGAACTTTGTGTGGGGCCATCCTGGGTTGCTAATGGTACCACAGTTTCCACTAAACTCCTATCATCACCACACCTCTTAATTACACACCTATAATTAATTCGGGGTAATTGAAGGTGGGTGTTGAAGGTAGGGTTTGTAAAGGGGGGAAGTGGGTGAGGGAATACAGGGTGAAAATCCCCTTGAAATAATCGTAGGTGAGGTGGTAGATTCTTAGTGGGACCACCACCCCAGTAGCCACTAAGACCACTTCACCTTGCCACTAGTACCACCTCGTTACTCGACACACCACTGCCACTCGGCACGTGGCGCTGCCAACAAGCGTTCAAGGTAGTTAATGTTGTGTCATTGTCAGGGTGATTTGTGAAGACTAAGGTGAGGTGTCTGGAGGTGAAGCCTCAGGTGATCATTGTGTGTCGTACCTACTCAAGTGACTTTGTATTCTGAGTGCCACTAGTAGTGAGGGTGTCTGGCGCCACCAGATTGCTACAGCCAGAGTGCCACTACTACAACCTGAGTGCCACCTGAGTGTCACCACTACAACCAGAGTGTTACAGCCGGAGTGCCACCACTACAACCAGAGTACCACCACTGCAACCAGAGTACCACCAGAGCGTCACCACTACAACCAGAGTGCTACACCCAAAGTGCCACCACTACAACCAGAGTGGCACCAGAGTGTCACCACTACAACCAGAGTGCTACAGCAAGAGTGCCACAACTACAGAGTGCCACCAGAGTGCCACAACACTACATAATGTCGCCCTACACACCAGAAGACTTCGAAAGGAGTCCACGACGCCAGTCATACAGGTCACCCTACATAGTAAGTATTTTACTAGAGTGCCACACATAATAAGTGCTTACCACCAGGCCCTCCAGAGTGCCAGTGCCTGGGAGGGGAGGACAAAGTCTTACCTCGGGTGAGCCTAAAACCTTATAACGTGACAATATAACCAAGGAATGCTTCAGTAGGCCTACTGACCAATTCTAGGCCAGTCCTACGGACAGTCATTTCCTGGTCTAAGTTTACTTAATCTGTCAAAGTTAACTAAATACATTTACACATCTATTTTGAGAACAGTCACTAGGCCTAGTAAGGGATCTTTTATATAATACATATGGATGGTACTAGGATACTTAGATAAGCTATACAACACATGTAAGAGGATCAGCAGCTATGCTGACACTTAGGCCTGACACACTCCAGCTGTCTAACACACTCCAGTGTGTCTAATATACTCCAGCTGTCTAACACACTCCAGTGTGTCTAATATACTCCAGCTGTCTAACACACTCCATTGTGTCTAATATACTCCAGCTGTCTAACACACTCCAGTGTGTCTAATATACTCCAGCTGTCTAACACACTCCAGTGTGTCTAATATACTCTAGCTGTCTAACACACTCCAGTGTGTCTAATATACTCTAGCTGTCTAACACACTCCACTGTGTCTAATATACTCCAGCTGTCTAGCATACTCCATTGTCTAATATACTCCAGCTGTCTAACACACTCCATTGTGTCTAATATACTCCAGCTGTCTAACACACTCCAGTGTGTCTAATATACTCCAGCTGTCTAACACATTCCAGTGTGTCTAATATACTCCAGCTGTCTAACACACTCCAGTGTGTCTAATATACTCCAGCTGTCTAACACACTCCAGTGTGTCTAATATACTCTAGCTGTCTAACACACTCCAGTGTGTCTAATATACTCCAGCTGTCTAGCATACTCCATTGTCTAATATACTCCAGCTGTCTAACACACTCCATTGTGTCTAATATACTCCAGCTGTCTAACACACTCCAGTGTGTCTAATATACTCCAGCTGTCTAACACATTCCAGTGCGTCTAATATACTCCAGCTGTCTAGCATACTCCATTGTGTCTAATATACTCCAGCTGTCTAACACACTCCAGTGTGTCTAATATACTCCAGCTGTCTAACACACTTCAGTGTGTCTAATATACTCCAGCTGTCTAACACACTCCATTGTGTCTAATATACTCCAGCTGTCTAACACTCCATAGTGTGTCTAATATACTCCAGCTGTCTAACACACTCAGTGTGTCTAATATACTCCAGCTGTCTAACACACTTCAGTGTGTCTAATATACTCCAGCTGTCTAACACACTCCATTGTGTCTAATATACTCCAGCTGTCTAACACACTCCATTGTGTCTAATATACTCCAGCTGTCTAACACACTCCAGTGTGTCTAATATACTCCAGCTAACACACTTCAGTGTGTCTAATATACTCCAGCTGTCTAACACACTCTAGTGTGTCTAATATACTCCAGCTGTCTAACACACTCCATTGTGTCTAATATACTCCAGCTAACACACTTCAGTGTGTCTAATATACTCCAGCTGTCTAATACACTCTAGTGTGTCTAATATACTCCAGCTGTCTAACACACTCCATTGTGTCTAATATACTCCAGCTAACACACTTCAGTGTGTCTAATATACTCCAGCTGTCTAACACACTCCAGTGTGTCTAATATACTCCAGCTGTCTAACACACTCCAGTGTGTCTAATATACTCCAGCTGTCTAACACACTCCAGTGTGTCTAATATACTCCAGCTGTCTATCACACTCCAGTGTGTCTAATATACTCCAGCTAACACACTTCAGTGTGTCTAATATACTCCAGCTGTCTAACACACTCCAGTGTGTCTAATATACTCCAGCTGTCTAACACACTCCAGTGTCTAATATACTCCAGCTGTCTAACACACTCCATTGTGTCTAATATACTCCAGCTAACACACTTCAGTGTGTCTAATATACTCCAGCTGTCTAACACACTCTAGTGTGTCTAATATACTCCAGCTGTCTAACACACTCCATTGTGTCTAATATACTCCAGCTGTCTAACACACTCCAGTGTGTCTAATATACTCCAGCTGTCTAACACACTCCAGTGTGTCTAATATACTCCAGCTGTCTAACACACTCCTGTGTGTATCTAACACTCCCAAGTGTGTGTTTACAACACACACATCACACTTTACAAATTGCTGAGACAATACATTTCTCGAAGGAAATTACACGAGACGTTTCGACCGCCCTGGACCAGTTGTCCAGGAGGGACCGAAACATCGTCTTGTGTTTCGTCCCAAAGTGTTGATTATTTTTTTACACTTCCTCTGCCCAGATGTATTCGCGACGATTTTTTTTTACAGATGATGTAACTCTCTGTTTTGCTCGATTATTTCTTTGCATCATCAAACAACTGTATAGATAAATGGTAGGATGAACGAGGACTCGGTAGATCTGGTACTGACACCACCACGGTTCGAGTCCCCTGGTTAAGCTTATGTTATAACGACTTAGTTGTGATTTCACGAGCATGTGTATTTAACCCCTCTGTATCGGATAGGTTATACTAGGAGGGGTGTTCTAGATAGGCCTACTAGGTAGGCTAGAAATTTTACTGGTGGCTCTCTCGTTGCACCTTCTACAAGTTCCATTAATCTTGTGCCTATTTTTTTCGATATTTCTCTCTCCTTTAACCTCGGCATGAGTGATAACCAGTGGTGGCAAACGAAGCCTTCTGAAAGAAAGGTTGGGAGGCTGGTCTTGTGATACAGGGTGATACATAACACTTGTGTTACAGGATGATACACAACACTTGTGTTACAGGGTGATACATAAGGGAGTGCAGTAAACTTCTATGGGACGAAATTCGTAAGGCATCTACATACGAAAATGTTGTGCTAATGGGAGATTTCAACTATAGACAGATTGACTGGAGCAATTTGACAGGAAATTTAGAGTCGGGTGACTTTCTTGATACGATCCAGGATTGTTTTTTAAAACAGTTTGTGACAGAGCCAACTAGGGGAAATAACCTCCTTGACTTGGTTCTTGCCAGTAGGGAAACACTAATTAATAATCTTGAGGTTAATGATGAGCTTGGGGAGAGTGATCACAAATCACTCAGTTTTAACATATCATGGAATTCCCCTAATAATGGCAATCAAGTCTCCGTCCCTGACTTTCGCTTGGCTGATTTCATAGGACTGAAAAATTACTTAGGTGGGCTGAACTGGAATGACCTGACTAAGGGTCAGGTAGGTGGTGATGGTTGCCGATATGATGCTTTCCATGGCATAGTTCTAGCTGCTCAGTCAAATTATGTTCCAAATAGGGAAATCAGATCAAACAAAAATGATCCTAAATGGATGAACAATAGATTAAAATATCTGATTGGTCAAAAGAGAGGCATATATAGGCAAATCAAAAGAGGAGAGGGGCAATTAAGAAATCGATATATTCAGTTAAAGAGAGAAATAAAAAAGGGAATTAGAAAAGCAAAAAGAGATTATGAGGTTAAAGTTGCAAGAGAATCGAAGACTAACCCAAAAGGATTCTTTCAGGTATACAGAAGTAAGATCAGGGACAAGATAGGCCCACTCAAAAGTTCCTCGGGTCAGCTCACTGACAGTGATAAGGAAATGTGTAGAATTTTTAACACATACTTCCTCTCAGTTTTTACACAGGAGGATACCAGCGATATTCCAGTAATGATAAATTATGTAGAACAGGACGATAATAAACTGTGCACTATTAGGGTCACAAGTGACATGGTCCTTAGGCAAATAGATAAATTAAAACCTAACAAATCCCCAGGCCCTGATGAACTGTATGCAAGGGTTCTAAAGGAATGTAAAGAGGAGCTTAGCACACCTTTGGCTAATCTTTTCAACATATCACTACAAACTGGCATGGTGCCAGATAAGTGGAAAATGGCAAATGTGATACCTATTTTCAAAACAGGTGACAGGTCCTTAGCTTCGAACTATAGACCAATAAGCCTAACCTCCATAGTGGGAAAATTTATGGAATCAATAATTGCCGAGGCAGTTCGTAGCCACCTTGAAAAGCATAAATTAATCAACGAATCTCAGCATGGTTTTACAAAGGGGCGTTCCTGCCTTACGAATTTATTAACTTTTTTCACTAAGGTATTTGAGGAGGTAGATCATGGTAATGAATATGATATTGTGTATATGGACTTCAGTAAGGCTTTTGACAGGGTCCCACATCAGAGACTATTGAGGAAAATTAAAGCACATGGAATAGGAGGAGAAATTTTTTCCTGGATAGAGGCATGGTTGACAAATAGGCAGCAGAGAGTTTGCATAAATGGGGAGAAATCAGAGTGGGGAAGCGTCACGAGCGGTGTTCCACAGGGGTCAGTGTTGGGCCCCCTGCTGTTCACAATCTACATAAACGACATAGATGAGGGCATAAAGAGCGACATCGGCAAGTTTGCCGATGACACCAAAATAGGCCGTCGAATTCATTCTGACGAGGACATTCGAGCACTCCAGGAAGATTTGAATAGACTGATGCAGTGGTCGGAGAAGTGGCAGATGCAGTTTAATATAGACAAATGCAAAGTTCTAAATGTTGGACAGGACAATAACCATGCCACATATAAACTAAATAATGTAGATCTTAATATTACGGATTGCGAAAAAGATTTAGGAGTTCTGGTTAGCAGTGATCTGAAACCAAGACAACAGTGCATAAGTGTTCGCAATAAAGCTAATAGAATCCTTGGCTTCATATCAAGAAGCATAAATAATAGGAGTCCTCAGGTTGTTCTTCAACTCTATACATCCTTGGTTAGGCCTCATTTAGATTATGCTGCACAGTTTTGGTCACCGTATTACAGAATGGATATAAATTCTCTGGAAAATGTACAAAGGAGGATGACAAAGATGATCCCATGTATCAGAAACCTTCCCTATGAGGATAGACTAAGGGCCCTGAAACTGCACTCTCTAGAAAGACGTAGAATTAGGGGGGATATGATTGAGGTGTATAAGTGGAAGACAGGATTAAATAAAGGGGATGTAAATAGTGTGCTGAAAATATCTAGCCTAGACAGGACTCGCAGCAATGGTTTTAAGTTGGAAAAATTCAGATTCAGGAAGGATATAGGAAAGTACTGGTTTGGTAATAGAGTTGTGGATGAGTGGAACAAACTCCCAAGTACCGTTATAGAGGCCAGAACGTTGTGTAGCTTTAAAAATAGGTTGGATAAATACATGAGTAGATGTGGGTGGGTGTGAGTTAGACCAGATAGCTTGTGCTAACAGGTCGGTTGCCGTGTTCCTCCCTTAAGTCAATGTGACCTGACCTGACTAGGTTGGGTGCATTGGCTTAAGCCGGTAGGAGACTTGGACCTGCCTCGCATGGGCCAGTAGGCCTTCTGCAGTGTTCCTTCGTTCTTATGTTCTTATGTTCTTATAACACACTCCCGCCGGAGCACACTAACCCGATTTTAGGGGCGGATTTTTTGCCTCTGTGACCTGTGTGTGTGTGTGTGTGTGTGTGTGTGTGTGTGTGTGTGTGTGTGTGTGTGTGTGTGTGTGTGTGTGTGTGTGTGTATGTGTGTGTGTGTATCCCAGGTTGGTGAGGGGATGGAGGTTCGAGCCTTCACCACTCTTTGCTCTGATCTAGGGCCCAGTGGAGTGTGGGAGCAGAATGTGGATGGTGATCATGGGTTGGAGGAGGATTATGGGTTAAGGATTATGAATGAATCGCGGCATGGGTTACAGGATACGAAGGAAGTAAGAATGGGTCGAGCTGTGAACTATGGGTCACAAATGGGCTAGTAATGGGTCTGAGATCGTGCTTCCCATTCTCAATTAAAAGCATGGGTTCTCTTCCTTCACCTGGGACCCATATACACTCTTCATCAGGGCCATGGGCTAGTAACCCCACAGAAGCCATACATCGCTGCGTTATTCAAGTCATTGACAGCCACGAAAGAAGCCATACGTTTTGAAACACGTCTCTTGAAGACGTTGCCCACACCAAAACATCGTAATCTCATTTGCATACAGCCTCGTAAAGGTTTGCACCAATGACAAACACTTGACGAAATGCAGTGGAAAGTGGAGACTTAAATTCAACATAACCTTCTATAGTGGACCCCCGCTTAACGATCACCTCCAAATGCGACCAATTATGTAAGTGTATTTATGTAAGTGCGTTTGTACGTGTATGTTTGGGGGTCTGAAATGGACTAATCTACTTCACAATATTCCTTATGGGAAAAAATTCGGTCAGTACTGACACCTGAACATACTACTGGAATGAAAAAAGTTCGTTAACCGGGGGTCCACATATTCTTGTCCTCCTTTCACTTGTGTATCTGCTGAAGAGGACCCCCAGAAGGGGATCGAAATACACACACTAGTTAATCTTCGTTTCTGTCTCAATGTAGATTATTATTGAACATTAAGACAATGTATTTAATACGTCGCAAATACGACGCAGATTCTTACGAAGGAAATATAGTTAAGACTGACGTAATGTAAAGTGTAGAGAAATGTTTGTATTAGCGTTAATGTTTACGTTGTTGTTTGTGTGATAACAGAGATCTCTGGCGTCAGTGGTCTAGCTAGGAGAGGATGGTGTTGTGGAGTGACTCTGGAGCGACACCGGTGTATTGCTGGTACGTCTATGATGGGGATGCCCGGGTGTTGTGCATGTGTCTTAATTTCATCTTGTCGGTATTATATACAACTCTTGTACTACTACTACTACTACTACTACTACTACTACTACTACTACTACTACTACTACTACTACTACTACCACCACCACCTCTTCCTGCCTATATATAGCCGTCCTGCTCCACTTCTGGTTAGTGTGACTTTGTCAATGGTCCAAGTCGGAACGAAGCGTCGTCGTAAGCTTCTCTCTTTTATGTGCGGGTTATTTGTGTATTGTTCCAGTCACGGTATTGTGCCTTATTTTGTTATTTACACTGAGTCTTGACTGGAGAGAGACAGAGACGTAAACCACAGCACTGTATCATCCTTTGCAGACGATACTAGGATCTGCACGAGACTCTCATCCGTTGAGGACACTGCAAGTCAAGAAGAAGATATAAACCAAGTTTTCCAATGGGGGACCGGGGGGGGGGGGGTTCCGGGGGTCAACACCCCCTGCGGCGCAGTCCTTGACCAGGCCTCTCGGTGGATCAGGACCTGATCAACCAGGCTGTTACTGCTGGCCGCACGTAGTCCAACGTACGAACTACAGCTCGGCTGATCGGGTACTGACTCTAGGTATCTCTTTACACTTCCTAATTCTTAGGAAGACGGATTCCGACTCAGCTCTTCACTGCTGCCGAAGGGCTCATAGATACCCTCCCCTTCCTCGGATCAAACATGATATCCACGCATTCCCCAATCACTGTATAAGTCCGATGGAGAGACGCAAGTATTTTTGGTGTCTGTTTTCGTTTCCGATTAATTTTCAGGCTCTAATGAGTGATTAGATAGAGATGTAACTAGGCCGAGAGGCAGGTGAGGGTGGCCTCCTGATGGGTGGGCGGCCCTGGTGGCCTCCTGATGGGTGGGCGGCCCTGGTGGCCTCCTGATGGGTGGGTGGCTCTGGTGGCCTCCTGATGGGTGGGTGGCTCTGGTGGCCTCCTGATGGGTGGGTGGCTCTGGTGGCCTCCTGATGGGTGGGCGGCCCTGGTGGCCTCCTGATGGGTGGGTGGCTCTGGTGGCCTCCTGATGGGTGGGTGGCCCTGGTGGCCTCCTGATTGGTGGGTGGCCCTGGTGGCCTCCTGGAGGTGCCTGACAGGTGTACAGTGTCAAGATCCAAGGCAATATTTATCCACGGTGGGGGAGGTGGATCACGGAGCCGTGTCACCTGATACCCCCTCCCCCCGCCCACTCCACCTCACCCCCCGCCCACTCCACCTCACCACCCCGCCCACTCCACCTCACCACCCCGCCCACTCCACCTCACCCCCCGCCCACTCCAGCCCTCACCCCCGCCCACTCCAGCCCCCACCCACCCACAATTCCCCTTAACCCCATTTCTGATATATCACGATCTCATCAGAAGTCAGTCCGAGTACATCCCAGGGATGTACTAGACGAGTACGTCCCAGGGCTGTGCTAGACGAGTACATCCCAGGGCTGTACTAGACGAGTACATCCCAGGGCTGTACTAGACGAGTACATCCCCGGGCTATACTAAACGAGTACATCACAGGGCTGTACTAGGCGAGTACATCCCAGCGCTGTACTAGAGGAGTACATCCCAGGGCTGTACTAGACGAGTACATCCCAGGGCTGTACTAGACGAGTACATCCCAGGGCTGTACTAGACGAGTACATCCCAGGGCTGTACTAGACGAGTACATCCCCGGGCTATACTAGACGAGTACATCCCAGGGCTGTACTAGAGTACATCTAGGGAATTAAAACTAGAAGAGTATAAAAAATTGATACTAGAAGAGTACAAGTAGGAGAGTATTTCTAAGAGGTTTAAACTAGAAAAGCACATCTAGGAAGTTAAAACTAATTGAGTACATCTAGGTAAGTATATCTAGGTAAATACACACAAACACACACACACACACACACACACACACACACACACACACACACACACACACACACACACACACACACACACACACACACACAGGAACCATACATAGCTTTAGGACGAGGTATAACAAAGCTCAGGGAGCAGAGAGAGAGAGAGAGAGAGGACCTAGTAGTGATCAGTGAAGAGGCGGGGGCAGGAGCCGAGTCTCGACCCCTGCAACCACAGTTAGGTGAATACAATTAGAGTACACACACACACACAGTACTCTGCATGTTTGTACCTAGTTATGTTGTAGTCTTAAAGTGTAGTTGTTTGTTATATTAGTGTTTGCATGTGATTATATTTGAAATACTGTACTGGTGTGTAGAGCAGGTGTGGCTACACACTTGCTGAGAGTCAGGGCAGGTGTGGGGGCAGGTGTTGTGTGTCAGAACATGTGTGTGTGTGCGAGAACAGGTGTGTGGGAAGGTGTTGTTACACTCTTATGTGTGTCAGAACAGGTGTGTGGGTGTAGGTGTGGGTACATGCTAGGTGTCAGAAAAAGTGTGTTTGCTCACCTATTTGTGGTTGCAGGGGTCGAGTCTTAGCTCCTGTGTGCGTGTGTGTGTGTGTGTGTGTGTGTGTGTGTGTTTTGTGTGTGTGTGTGTGTGTGTGTGTGTGTGTGTGTGTGTGTGTGTGTGTGTTATTGTTAGGGTAAAACATCATTAAACTAGTTATATGGTAGTTCTGACTCCGAGGGGTTATTACGGTGTGTCGCCGCCAGCACTGCCATCTAGCGGACAGCTGTGAAACTCCGTATTTCATCTAGTGTGAGTTTCCTTTAGTTTCTAATCCTGGTAGTATCAACCTTACCTGCTGCCAGGAATATTACTTCATTTATTTTATATTTAACCTGGTTACCAGTAATGACATGGCAGTACAATTACCACCCTTTGTGTTTATTCATTGTTATACTTAATAAATATCTTTTAACCAGTGTTTTTTTTGTCATCAGCTGTGTTGCTGACGTAGTGGTCCAGAGTAGACGCTGGGTAGCTGGGAACTGTTCGTCAGGTGACGGTACTTAGTGGAACATAGCGACACTTAGTGGGACATAGCGACTCACTGTCTCTCCTTTGATATCTGGAGTGAGATACTGCGAACTAGTATTGACAGGAGCTTGTGTGTGTGTTGGAAGGAAGGCAGGTGTAGCTACACACTTACTGCCACAACAGGTGTGTGTGTGTTGGACAGATGTGACAGGGTACTAACACGTGTTTCTGGTCTTTTCAGTTATATGAGTTGAGTGACGACTTGAAGAGAAAAGAATTCCTTGATGAGCTCTTCTCTTTCATGCAGAAGAGAGGTGAGTATCCCCCCTCATGTTGTGGTAGACCTTGTGGTGGGGGTGATAGTTGTGGGGGTGGTAGTTGTGGGGGGGGTGGTAGTTGTGGGGGTGGTAAGTGAACTGCAGTTTGTACCAATGTAATCAAGTTCTGATAGCCGTGTAGGCCTGCTGCAAGCTAGCAGCAACGAGCTGATTGACCAGATGGTATTAGGGTAGTCCAGCTTCTGGCTGGACTGCCGGGAGGTAGGTCTCTCAAAAGCGGTCACACCTATGTCTGTATATTATGCAAAAAAAATCGACAACAAGCCATATAAGATGCAGAATAACCACGGGGGAGTTGAATGATAGATCTCGGCCTTTCATGTTGCATTCAACACACCAGGAACTTGCAATGTTTCAGGAAATCTTCCAAACAAACACGATCACGGGAAGCGCACGGTATGGGCGCTTTGTGTGTGTGTGTATTATATACACACAAGAAATATATATATTATATATATTATATATTATAATTTCTTTAAGTCAGGTATGTAGCACCCTAATCAACACCTGGTTAGCATGTGTTCCTGCAGGTCTTAGACTGTTTGGGTGGAGGGGTTGACGACGATGATTGACGGGGAGAATTTACTGATGCGGGGGAGGGGAATGGGGGGGGTGCGTGTGCGACCCCCCCCAGAGGCCATATAAGTGCGTCTTATAACCTTGTTATATGTAAGAACATTAATGCTGGGGAGGGGGAGATGGAAGGGGAGGTTCTTAAGACGCTCACTCCAATTATATATATAATAAAATATATATATATATATAATATATATATATATATATATATATATATATATATATATATATATATATATATATATAGTGTATATATATATATGTATATATATATATGTATATATTTATATGTGTATGTGTGTGTTTGTATATATGTGTAGTAGACTCTCAAACTATACAAAGATATATTGCTTGAGTTTTGGTATTTATTGTTTAAGGTTACGTGAGGGAGATTGTGATTGTGGAGCACAGGAAGTGGGGGAGGGTGGGGGAGGTTTGGGGAGGGATGGAGACACAAGGAGAAGGAAGGGGAGGGAGGGGTGAAGGGGTGTCACGATATGAAATTCCGGTGAGGGGTGCGAGTCGTGACTGTTACAAATGATGGGGAGTCAGGGGAGGGGGTGGTTCTTGGGGGAGGGGAGGGTTGTTGGGGAAGGGGAGGGTTGTTGGGGAAGGGAGTTTCAACCATCCTCACTTATAAGGAAGGAGGAGCACTTCAGGAAGCTAGGCAAGTCCAAGTCACCTACTGGCCCAATCCAGTCAGGTCCCACTCACACCCACCCATGTATTTCAGGTTTATTTTGAAATCACAAGGTTTTTTCAGCTTGTTCCACTCTCACAACTCTATTACCAGACCAGTGCTTTCCTATATCCTTTTTAAATCTTCTTTCTACCCTCAAACCATTGCTGTGAGTCCTGTCTTGCCTAGATATTTTCAGCACGCTATTTACATCCCCTTTATACCTGTTTTCCATTTATATACCTCAATCATATCCCCCGGATCAGCCGGGGTGTGGTTCGTACGTTGGATTGCGTGCGGCCAGCAGTAACTGCCTCGTTGATCAGGCCCTGATCCACCGGGAGGCTTGGTCGTGGACCGGGCCGCGGGGGCGTTGATCCCCGGAATGCCCTCCAGGTAGCCCCCTAATTGTACGCTTTTTTAGAGAGCAGATTCAGGGCCTCTGTCTGCACACTGTCACCCTCACTCGTACCTTCCTGTTATTTTTATTTTCTATCATCTATATCATACCTAGTTTTAAAGTCACACAAAGAATGTGTTTGTATAACCTTCTCTGACAAGTAATGTAGGTGTAGCAACTGTGTGAAGGGGCAGAGACTGGAGGGAGAGGGACAGGTTGAGAGGGAGGGAGGACACCACCAACACTGCCTACAACAACTGGCCAACACTCCTATATTCTCCTGGTGGTGGACATAAAACGTGAGGGTTGACCCCTTACACACCTTCTTCGTCTGCTAATTGTAGTGGCTGTTCATGTTAATGCAGTGGCAGGCTGCTGTTATGTCAGTTATGTGGTATTTCAGAGGCTGCGGCTGCGGAAAAACGCGACAACTGCGGAAAAACACATTGAGTATGTTGACGTGTGAACACCAGAGTTTCCGGTTCAAAGCAATGGAACCTCACGAAGCATCACTTTGTATACCTGGAATACACCTGGAAGGGCTTCCAGGAACCGGGTCCTGGTATACTGGAAGAGTGATAGCACTAACCACCCAGCGTATTCAGAGTTTTAATAAAACAGCAAGACACAGATCCTGTCTCTGCCTGGGAACACGACCTTCGCTGTCAGTGTTGCAGGAAGGCGACAGACAAGTACATGGAGGAAGACAGCAGAGGACTTGCAAGCTCAGAGGCTATCTGCTGAGGATAGCTATCTACTGCTTTCTAGATTAAGCAGTATTGTATATTCTAGTATAGAAAAGCAGGAAGTGCAAACAGTGACGTCCAGTGGTAACAACTTTCTATATAGCAGTGTTATTGACGTCAGCTTGACCTGCATCAGGGTTCCGCCAATTTTTTTGGGTATTACCCCAAAACAAATTTGTGTACATCAAAATTACCCACTAGACTTTGAAATCCACAGAATCCGAAAAAAAGCCAAAAGTATTCAAATTCAAAATAGCTTATTGAATCCATTTATATGGAGAATAGTCATAGAAATTGAAAAGTATATATTATATGCGATAAATTAACATTAAAAATAAAACGCAAAATTAGCAAAAAAAAATGAAAAAATCTCATTGAGGAACTAAGGGATTTTATTGTAAATATTTTGACGTCGGGTCGAGGACCAATGTTTCATTTTTGATGCCTCAAAATTAGGGCTTTTTTGATGTCGGAGCAATCTGGAAACTGTCTTCGGCGTTCAGCCGGAAGTGCCGGATCCACCAGGCTGTGCTGGTTGTGTAGACCTGTGGTCTGCCAGCAGCCACAGCCTGGTTGATCAAACCACCACCAGGAAAGCCTGGCTTGATTTGTCACAAGAATGTGTCTGGTCCGGGTAGCCTCCAGGTAGTGGTAGTGAGGGGGGTAAGGAATGGTTCCCCCTGCCCCCCTTACCTCGCCCCCTTCCCTAGTCCCCCCCCCCGCAACACCAGTACCAGGATGCACCCTGCAATTTGGTATCAATAAAAATGGAGGCAGGTTAGGATAATTTCACCCAGGCTGGGATAATTACCAGGCGGGACACTGCAACCTTAACCATCCCCACCACCACCCCTTAACCCCCTCTCCTGTCTTCCCATCCCCCCCTCACACCCCTACCCTCTCCTTCACCACTTAGTCTCCCCCCCCCTTCTTCCCATTCTTTAATTTCTCACCATTCTGGCCCCTTCATTCCCCTCTTGTGACCATGTGCCTGTGACCATGTGCCTGTGACCATGTACCTGTGACCATGTACCTGTGACCATGTGCCTGTGGTACAGATACACATATACAGTTACATAAATTATCAAATTATCATACATAACCTATGTGTAGATTACTTAAGATAACTCAGTTAGACAGTGACTATTTCCACTGGGGTCTTTGTAATACCTTGTTATTTAAACCTAAAATGTTAAGGCAGCTAAGTAACTTTTGCCTGTCATTTCCCCGTCTCGGTGTATGGTGATACCCGTCTTAGTTTCACTGGTGGGGTACGACAGCAGAGTGACGTATGTCACATATCTTGGTATCAACAGCATCACATGGGTGGTTTGTGAATGTCTGTGACTGTTGGATGTGTCGGGGTTGCCTCCTGCCCCCACCCCTGCTGCTGCTACTCTCTGCTGCCAGGGGTGTCCCTGCTAGGGGTGGGTGGCTGGGATCAGACGTGCCCAACTGCCATATATTGTAAAGTAAAAGGACACAGGTGCAGCTAATGTGACTACTACAACCTGATCCATCGGGAGGCCTGGTCATGGACCGGGCCGCGGGGGCGTTGATCCCCGGAATAACCTCCAGGTACTACTAGTATTGCACCTCACTCTGAGCCTATATATACCCTCTGTGTCCATGTACTGCCTGTAACGGCTTGACAAAGCTCCTGGAGAGCGAAACGTTGCCACAATAAAATGTCACATTAGTTGCACTTGTGTCCTTTTACTTTACATATTGTCGGTAATTCTGCCATATATTGCCCTGATTATGATACCCTCATTGCCCTGGGTGGGAGTTGTGGTTCCACACTACTGCGACCCGCCCACACTGCCCTTACTATATAGGTCCAGGTATGAAAACATCTGGGAATCTTTCAGGAAACGTTTCGCCCGCCAGTGGCTTCTTCAGCATTGAACTGCAGAAGCCTCTGGCTAGCGAAACGTTTCCTCAATAAAGATTCCCAAATATTCGTCTCATTTTTTAGGTCTAGGTATGTTGCGGGAGGCCTGGTCTGGGACCGGGCCGGGGGGCGATGACCCCCCCAAAAATCGTCTAGAGACCCCTCTGATCTTGTCTATACATATTTAAAACCAGTGCTATAGTTTATATACTTTGCCGATAGAGAACCAAAAAGGCACAATACCGTGACTGGAACAATACACGAATAACCTGCACATAGAGAGGAACTTACAACGATGATTAGATCTGATATTAATATAGATGTCAGATCTGGGATCTGGCGGAGTGGCAAAGGTACTTTGTACTTTGATAGTGTGCAGGTTCGAATCCTACTGTAGACTGAGAGATAATGTTTGTTAAAAGTTCGCTAGTTTGCGAATTAAGCATATTTCTCTGAAGATGTGTGTAAGCACATGAAAGCGCTCAGGTTTTCTCTCCCATTTTCACTGTGGTACTCCTCAAGGAAGGTTCCTTGATGCTAATGAGGGGCTCTTGATCTAGGGAATTGGATCTGTGCTCCAGTTCCCCGAATTAAGCCTGAATGCCTTCCACATGCGCTGTATAATTCTACGGGTTTAGTGCTTCCCCCTTGATTATAATAATTCACTGGTATTTTTCGTTA